GTCGGAAAATACGAAAAAATCGAAGTATGTCGTATTTTTCAAAAAACACATTTTTTTCAAAATACGTCTTATATTTCGGTTCGTGCTTTCTCTGAGTTTCTGAAAATATTTTTTTCAGATTCAGCATTGAAAACTGAGCCTAGGGGAGTGGTTAAATCGGCTTAAGACTCCGACATCTTTTCAAAGTGGCACTCCAAATCACACCGAGTGCAATGCGCATAAGTCGTTTTTGTAAACGTATCAAGCTTTTTACGTAAGCGATGAAGTCAAATGTTTTATCTCATTCAACTCAACATACCATCAGCTACAAAACTCCGCATTCTTTTTTTTCCTTTTCTTTCATATGTTGAAAAAATTCGTTTTTACTGCTATCATAGAAAAAGGGGAAGGTCATTTTTCAATAAAATGCTTATTTTTTATTCAAATAAAGTGAAAATTTTTTTACATAGGCAAAAACTGATGATGAATCTAATGGGTATACTTTTGAGATCTCTAGACGGTCTTCAAGGGGTCTCTGGAAAACTTCTCTCCAAAAATCATAGTATAACGACGTGTCTAATAAAACGTGTTTTTGTTTAAGATATTATCGTTCTCAGCGCACCTAAATTAGATCTAGATGCCTAGAGTAAGTAGGCGAAGAAGTCAGAGACAAAACGTATCGTCTCGTCGATGGTCAAATACGAAGATTTCAGATCCAAGTGATTCGTCTGGTGATGAATATGTCATGGATATTGATGCTGAAGAATTAAATTTTAATGAAAAAATTTTGTTAACCGATATTGGTGGCCTTGCTGAAATGTGCAAGTTGAAATGTGGAACGAAATATCTTAGCACTTTGGTTTATATGTCATTACGTTTCTTCGACATTAAATGGGAAAATGTCGACGAGTATTTGAAGAGTATTGGTTTTATGAGCGCACAAACTTCTCATAAATGGGCAAAAGTGTTTAGCAAAGGAGATTATGAAGAGTTTTCAAATGATTTACGTGGTGGTAAACAAACTGATCCGTTTTATGATACCTTTCCCGAGATTGAAGCAGATGCAAAAGCATTTGTCGTTCAAGCGTATTCACAAAAGTCAGGCGAATTCAAGGGTTTGGATTTGGCTCAGTTTATTGATGAAAAATATTATGAATTAACAGGAATTAAAAAACAAATTGGCGATGATTTCATAAGATCGGAAAGAAGTTGTCCTCTCGATCTTCGCAGATGGGGAGCTAAATCTGAAGCGAATTCACAACGCCCGTATTTTGAAGGACATGAAAGGAACGATGTAGTGAAATATCGTAATGAATTTATTGTTTATTTTTTAGCGCACAAAGATTATTACTACACAATTACAGATGGTGAAATACCTATGTGGAAAAATCCGCATAGAATACTTATATTTCATGATGACTATTCCATAAAATTCCGTATCACTACGCATCGTTCTGAAATCAAGGACGATTTGATATATACTAAAGCGCGAAGACTGATGAACTACTCATATTCTTTTCTACCGAGAAAAAGTTTTCTCTTTACTACAATAAACTTAAATCTAACTGATTAGTTTAAATCTATTTCTAATCAATATATAATTTCTTGAATATGCTTCCTCAGAATCATGCCTTTCTTACGAGGGAAGTGTACCAACTGTTAATTCCAGTTTTGAATGGGATATGGCCTAGTTCGTAGTGCTCGCTGTGCTGTGTAAGAACATGACAATCTTCCCCCTCCCTCCCCTATGCAGCTTTGTTCAGAAGTTATGAGGATTTTAAGATACAACCAAGTCATTCTATTTATGCAATGAATATATCATATCTCCTCTACTATTCATTAGGCATTCTTTTTGATTTTATAATTTAATTCACCAGAGTTAGTTCTCACGATTACTACGTAAAACGTTGCAGAATTGTTCAATACAGAGCCCAAAAAAGTTATCCAAATTTATGCATACTTCGGAACACCCTCTACAAAGTTTCTCGTTAACGCTTATCAGGTTTTGATGAATTATACTTATATTACTGTTATTATATTTGAATCTTTTGAAATAAAACATTTTCTAATATAAGTATAATTGTCATGTTCTTACACAGCACAGCGAGCACTACGAACTAGGCTATATCCCATTAAAAACTGGAATTAACAGTTGGTACACTTCCCTTGTTAGCCATCTTTTTTGATACACTAAAAAAGATTAAAATTTAAAGTATGATTTTAGGTACCTATACGTTTTAAAATTGAGACAGCAAACGGCAATGATTTGCTAAAAGTTAACAGTGCTGTAAGTGGCGACATGCATGAAAAGTTTTTGTTAACAATGCCATTGCAAGAAATATGTCAAAATGAAACAAAAGCGAAGAAAGTAATGAAATTGATAAAAGATTTGTTTAGTATTCTTCAAACGGTGAAAAGAACCAATAACAAAGCATTTTATCATCGTGCTTTAATTGTTTGCTGTGACAAATGGGGACAAAATTTTATTGATCTTTTTGGCTATGAAATGGTGACACCCTATGTTCATGTTTTCGCCGCACATCTTCCGGAGTTTTACCATAAATGGATGAATTTAAATACATTTTCTCTAGAAGGTGTCGAAAAACTGAATGACTTAATTACCTCAGACTACTTTAGAGCAACGAATAAGAAGGAATCATTTTTGCAACAAATACTGAGGAAAAGATTATGTCAAATGTTACTAACTTTGCCGAAAAGAACAAGAAAAGACGCATTACTCGCAATGGAAAATGTTGAAACTGACGACTTAAATATGAAAGAGCCAGAATCAAATGATGAAGACGAAACGGTGAAATATTTTTAAAAATTTGGTATAGAATAGCTGATCGTAAGCAAGATGAATTTGATTAAATTTGTTACACATGGAGATACATCTGCCTAATTTTTACATTATATATATATATACTTTTCCTCGTGTTATCGTGGTTTTCTGTATTTGAAGCGGGAACGACGCTTGATTACCATTATCCTACATACAAGTGGTACGATTAAACGTTAAAAGAGTAAGAAATCAATGAGATTACATGCTGGAAAGCTTTCTCTCAACAACTACGTTCAACGAAATTTGTTGTTTTAAGGGAGATTACTTTTCTAAGTTATCTAATAATTTACTATCCATTTTACGGAATTTTTCTCACATAAGAGATCATAATCAGGTGGTATCTTTCGATTATTTGATAATTTTATTTAATAGTTGATACTGGCTTTAAACGCTCTTACTTATGAATGGGTATAATAAACTTGCACTTACTCCAACAGTAAACCATTCTTTCCCATTTTCCGAATTTACATAAAAATAATTAGATTATAATCATCTTCCCACGTTCTAGAACAGTTACATTCAGTCCATGTTGAATGATGACCTTACTAAATAGAGCTAAAGAAGGGTTCATAACTACTGCAAGAGAAAAGAAAAAGTAGTGATGCTATTTTCCCCCAGTTTTGTTTCCTCAACCTATCGAACACACAGTCTGGGACTATTTCATTACTTTTTTACTCTTTTCTGTTTCCGTTCTTTCTCATTCACTTACTAGCTAGCTATAAGCCAAAAATACGATAAACACGAAGCTTTTGGATGTGTCAAAGAAAAGAACGAATGTCGAATCACACATAAATATGGTGCACACATCTATGTATAGTTGTGTGTTCTGTTCATCGGTATATTTTATGTGGCTGGTGATGACTGAAGTTAATGGTCGAAAGTTTCTACATTTTAAATAAAATCGAATGTTAGTTATCGATCGCGTATAAATAAACAAATCAAATTAGAATCACTACTCCAAGTTACTGTATATTAGAAGAAAGAAAACAGTACCAACGACTAAGTGGCATTGAATTGTTAACTACCCGGGATAGTTTGTATAAAAAGCTTACTTGATAGCTAATTCATAGAGCAATAAAATGAGTACTTAGCAGTTTGAACAAATAAAAACTTTTATTCAGAAAAAATACTGACAGTTGCAATCCAAACTCTTCACAACAATCAATATGAATCAGAAACATTTTTCATTTTTACACTAACGAATGTAGTAACAGTTATTCGTGCATGTCTTTCGAACAGTTTTTCTGAACTTCAGTCCGAGTAAACTTATTTGAGTTGTGATGGTGGAAAGAAAACAGGCTGGTTTTAAAGATTTCTCTCCACTTATTTAATATTTTCGGCTAACTGTACCTATTGCAGTATGCTTTGGGCTTTGATACATCTCTATCCAAAAAACAGTGAAGTATATTCTATTTGAAAATGCGTAATATTAAGTATGTTATAACTGTCCTCGTTTACTTTCTTATACTGAGTTCTTTAGAATGCACTCAATCTTTAATTTGAATTACTCAAAGTACAGATGTCCGCATTGCTATACTACGTTCTCATGCAAGTGACTTTTATCAGGACATTCTCATAATTGTCTTCAATGGTAGTTTTTAACTTACCGTGATCAGTCCAACATGATTTTGCATTTACGAAAAATATTTACAAAAACAATGATTGAACTCAAATTTTTTATCTGACTTCGTGCAATCAAGAGATTTTTGAGAGAAATCTTAAAAATGCATCCTGTCTGTGTCAATCATAAATTTAACTAAAAATGAATTTATTTACCAAACGTTCAAGTGATAAATTTGAATCAGTATCGACTGGCACGAATAAAATATAGAACAACAAACGAAAATTTATATTGCTTTGACGTTTGATGGACGCAATGACTCCTACTTGAAACGTAATATTTCTGTTTCTATTCTAAACTATATAAAAACACGGAACTATATACACAAACTATATACACACACGAAAGAAAAATAGACTAGATTAATGGGCACATGTCATTTAAGATGATTTCTGTCTCCTTTCTATACAGACCGAGTATACGGCATTATTGGCCAGAAGATATAAAAAACGTTGAATATTTTCTAACTTTTGAATCTTCTTCAAATAGTAAAAAGAAATTCTCTAGTTTTTCGAATGAAGGAGAATGAGGCCTGTTGATCTAAAGTCATTGACCGCAATTAAAAACGAAAAATTTCATGTTGACTCTTTTCTGTTTTTTGAAGCCATTTCTGAACGTGGAAAAAAAATTTTCAGTTTCCCGATTAGAGAAGAGTTATGGCTATCGATCTATGTAAAAATATTTGAGATGCGTTTGCTCATGTTTGATTTTATAACTTTATTAATTCATATTAAAAAAAAGGCCAGCAACAGGGTTATTTTAGGCCTAACGTTTAACAATATGTATTGGAATAACAAGGGAAAGTAGACTGAAATCAGAAGGGAAAGAAGGAGATAACAGTAACAATTAAATATAAAAATGAAATAAATAAACGGTAAACTATAAATGACAGGTCCTGGAGATATGGTGGATGTATGGCTTACTAATAGAATTTAAAAGAATTAGACATGCTGCTAGTTTCCAAATCTTTTTGTTTCGCAAATATAAAAGTTCACAGTCCAAAAAACAGATGCTGCCTCATCCCCGCTCCTCCCAATATCATTAAGTAGTAATGTATCCAAGGTAAACATTTTTAAAAAATTTAATTTTTGCTTTAAAATTATTCTGGCATTATTTTACAATGGACAATTAATAAAATAGTGTTCAGCATCCTCTCTAACATTCTCACATACACACTTAGGCTAATCTACACATTTATGTTTAAATAAATAATAATTAAGTGCTGGAAAATTTGATTTTATCCTCAAAAATAAAACTTCTGCTCGACGTGTCAAAAATTTTAACTTTTTAGAAAATGGTGGTACTGTAATTAAATCGGATATTAAACTTATTCTCATTTTTGCTCATGTTTTATTAATTAAGACGAGAATAAAGACTAGGAATTTTTTTCTTTTCTGTGTATTCAAAATTAGAGCATGATGTGCATTTTTTATTCCTAAATAGAACATGTCCATACAAATACATGGACTTTGTAAGTAAAGTCAGAAAAAAAAGATGTCGGCGCTATCCGAAGTACAAAATCAAGGCATATGTTTGTAACAAAATATGTTCAGAAAAGTCAGGACTATGAGCAGTGAAAAAACTGAAGTCTTAGAGACGAAATTTTTCTATACTTTTGTCTTCTGTATTGTTCCGCTGATCTTCCATGGAGATTATTCTGAGTAAATCTGCTTTCTAAAGACATAAATATCGAATTTTGCCATTTTCAGTTATTTGTAGGCTAACCACCAGATTCGACATACCTTTTCGATGCAGCCAAGTTAATCAAAGAATTTTTAAAAATCTCCAATTTCTGACTAGAAACAACCGTTTTCTACAGAATCTAGTGAAGAGTCAACTAATATTTAATTGGCACAGATTACTCAAGATGTATTTCGGCTCTGAGGACCCAGCTGGATGCTTCTAATCCCTTGCGGCTTGCAAAACCTGTTGCGTGTATTTGTATGGACGTGTTCTATTTAGGAATAGAAAATGCACGCCATGCTCTAATTTGGAACACACAGGAAAGAAAAGAAATTCATAGTAGCCTTTATTCCCGTCTTAATTAATAAAACATGAGCAAACGAATCTTAAATATTTTTACATAGATCGATAGCCCTGACTCTCTTCCATTCAGAAAACGAGGGAATTTCTTTTTACGATCAGACGCCAATTCAAAAGTTAAAAAATATTCAACGTTTTTTATGCTCTTATTCTGGCCAATGACTACACACTCAGTACATTTTCAAAACAAAATATTCGATATAATTTATTTTCTGATTAAAAAGGAATCTCAAGTAAAGGTGTATTTTAAATTAATATTGCTAAAATAGCCGACACTTTGTCGCGTTTTGGATTAAACCAAATATGAACACATTCATCTAGTTACTTTCTCTACTTGACTGATTACACCGTAAATATATTTGTCTCAGTGGCCGTCTGTGTTGTCGTCTCATTAATACAACGAAATATATTTATAAATAAACTGAATTGGTGCACATACTCATTCTTACATTTTATAACTACATAAAAACTCTACTCTTTAATTCTGCATATGGAAATTCAAAATTGTTTGTTGTTCTTAATACTTTATGGATTTGCTGCTACAGACAATGATCAAAAGGTTATCGAAAAATTTCTCAAATTAAAAGTAGCATCGTTAAAGATATGCTGTGACTGGAATGTTTTGAAAAATCAGTTTAGCTGAAATAGCATTGTGTGAAGAAAAACTTCAAAATTGTCCTGAAGAACAAATAGTATTTAATTATACAGCAGCATATATAAGTGTTTTAAGTAAATATAATGTATCAAATTACTTATCTATTGATTATTTACCTTCACCATGAGCATCATTATCATTTAGTAATAATTATAATTATATTATTATGATTATTTCGTTTATTATTCTCATTGCTGTGTTATTTATCTTTATATATTTGGTTTGTTTTTATTATAATTGTGTCGATCATCAACATTCACTAGAACGCGATTCAGAATTAAGTGTAACGTCGTCACTAAATAGTGGAGTAATCACTTTCGTTTTTAGAAAACCAATATTATTTCTGTGACGATTGTCGCTATCAAAGTGACTAGTCGTAAAGGGTAGAGATTGTTTTGTACAGTTACATGTTGATTTCCGTTTTTTTCGTTATTCTAGAGTCTGTTTGTATAGTGCTTATTTCTCTATTTGTCTGTGCTTTTTAATGCTACACGCTATTACTATCGGAATTTTTAAAGAAAGCCGGGTCATCTGTAATTGACACTATGCAGCTTGTATGGCCTGGTTCTCATCGAATTTCTTTTGGAATTAGTAACTTTGTGGTAGCAATAGATAGCGCTCATTCTGCTGATTTTGAATATGTACTTTGTGTAGCCATTTAAT